TATCCAGTAACATGCACAAATATAAATACAAAACTCTTATTCTTTAAACACTTGTTAACGTAATTGCAGATGCATCATAAATACAAATAGAATGTGAATACTGTAGCAATCACTTTACAGGCTTTAGTGCATTTTAATCATTGCGAAATTATTTTAAAAAAAGTTTAATTGTCCTGTAAGCATTGCACTTTGAAGCAGGATTGTTTCAAAAACATGAATACACACTATATTTTCAGAATGAAAAACAAGCTGAAAACCTGGCATCACTTCCTCTTTGTATAAGAATCCTTCATTGAAATCAATCCAAGCTTAATATCTCAAACCAGACAGCGAACACTGATCTGAAGCCTCATTAAGAATTGGCATTCCTGGCCACAATCCTCAAACAGGCGGTCGAGTGGAGAGCAGGAAGACACGAGATGAAGGGCTGCTTTGATTAATTAAAGATGCGTTAATCGTCCTCTGCCAGCCTGCCTTTGGCTATAGGGTTTTAATTCACTTACCATGTTGATTTCAGGCACAATTAAATTCTGCTCTGACTTGCACAAGTTTCTTTTGAGTTTGGCTTTCCTCCTGCCCTCTCTCACGTGTCTTTTGAGAGAGCAGTGCGCCAATGGTACTGTATAGTGTTTTATGGCCGTTCACTGAGGAAGGCAATTAACATTGGCAGTTGTCAACAAAACAGACTGATTTCTGCATGTGTGAGCCATGGCATCAATATAAGCTAAATTTTATTCTGAAGTATTAATATAAAAATTCTTTAAACAGAGGATGTGCACTGCAGTCATGTTATGTATGAATTGTAACTGTATTTTCACTCATGTTAAAATGTGAGGAGTTGTAATTGAGCAGCTTGTGGCATGGTGTGGTACTGGCTAGGGCTTTGCACTGGAAAAGCTGTGGGTCCAATTCCTTGGTGGAGAAAGGAGCTGCACTCTAAGAGCTTAAATAAAATGTCCATCTTCAAAAAGGCTCAATAAGTCAAGTCACACACCCCCTCTTCCTCCATACAGTTCTGATGCAGGTGGCAGGTAATGAATGACCAAGCATTCCCAGCCTGACGAGTCTGATCCTATGTCACTGCCTTGTGTTCCAGTGGGGTCTTCCCAGAACATGCCTTATGTACTGTAGTTTTCATCGTGTTGATTTGGGACATGCATTATCTGTAACAGAAATCACTGACCATGTGTGTGATTACTGTGAGACGGAAGCCCTGCTGTGGGTTTTCTAACACATCGAAAGCCCATCCTGCCATTCTGCAGTGTTCCATTGTATTTTGCACAATTGTTCCACTAATTTTACACCGGTGAGTTCTCTCTTCTATGACTGTTTTTGTAAATCAAACTGAAAAAAGATAGAAAATATGGGTTGCTGGTTAGTTTTTTTTTAATTAAGTGACTTGGATTTTTTTTTTTTTTAATGACGTGACTGTTTGTGTATCTTAACACACTTTCGTTAAATCATTGCACAAAGCTTTCTCGGGGGTCGGGTTTTGAAGCAAAACATGTGATCCTCCAGTGTGGCTCAGTGGTAAAGAATGTGCTCTTTGGAAACTAGAAATTTGTAGGTTCAGATCACAAACAGGATACTGCTGTTGCAATTTTTGAGGTAATAATTGAATAAGTGGCAGCTGTAGTGAAGTTCCTGCCAGGATACATGAGTACATACTCAAATTGTTTTGGTTGAAAGTGTTAACCAAATCATAATTGATTGACATTAAAGTTTATATCATCATTATTGAAATAGTACTTATTGTCAATTAACAATATACTTTATAGCTTCAAAATATCATCTGGGCTACTGTAGTTATGGTAGGTCTTGGAAATGGACAGGGTCATGTCTTTGGTGCTCAGCTGTGCTAACTGATCCAAATAAGAAAGAGTGAGTTTCATCTTTCTGTCTGAGATCCAAACATTGCTTCATACAATTCCTACACAGCAACAGAAAACGCTTGTGTGAAAAATGTCTTGTTGCTGTATCTTTCTTTTTACTTTACTCTCCGAGGAGATAGAGGGAAACTGAGGAACAGCCATATTAAAGTAACAGCTCCCCAGAAACCCATTATACTTTAATTAAGTGCTTGACATAAAAGGATACACACACTTTAACAAACACAGTTGAAATCACTTGTGCTCTGTTTCTCCTTGACTTTTTAAAATATTTTTTCATGTTCTCCAGACATACTGAATCAAAAGCGTTCGTAGCAGCATCTGGAGCAGGCTGGCTTTCCTAGCAGTGGAGTTTAAAAGCAGACAGAAGAACTAGAAACCATGATGGAGACTGCAGTGTTCCAGGAAGGGTCAGAGAGGGTGGTCAGTAAGCTGGGTTTTCCCGTCTTATAAGGGGATATATATCAACTAGGTTCTGGGAACAGCCTTGGACTCAACTATAGCGAAGGAACTGAAAGCGCAGGAAGGGGATGTTTGTTGTCCTCCATCATTCTGATACTGGTGCTGAGCCACTGATTAATCGCTCATCTCCCTGGAACTCAGATGAGTTACTGGAACTATACTGGAACATGACGTCTTGACTGCCGGCACCGCGGGGAAAGATGAATGAGCACTCACAAGAACTGAAAAGGTCCCGCGCCATTGACAAATAAGCCCCACTTCAGGAAAACAACACAATTACAAATGCAACAAATTCTACAGCTTCCAACACTCGTCTGTTCATTGTGATGCAGGCCTCTTGGTATCCCTTATGTACATATAACAATTAGTCCGTGAATAAGCTTTTTGACTAAAACGGGTCAATGTGAACACTATTTCTTTAAGCATACAGTAGAGTCACCATTTGCAAGGGTATGGTGAAGAGAACCATCAATCGCCAAATTCACATATAACCCAGTCCACCCCATACCATCACGTAATGCACTACAGTATATAATATGTACAGTTAAAAGGCATACTGTAAGCAACTCTCCCTTATATGATTACGTTAATGCATTGTCTTTAAATTAATTTAAATAACATTACTCAAGTACAAGAACACAGGAATGAGAAACTTATAGTAATCACTTAAAATACACAAGCCGAGTCCCTGCTCTGCTCTGCTTTCAGCCTGCACTGTCTCTTTCTGCCTCTGTGACCAGCACGTCAAACCGTAATGAGATGGGCAATAAAATGATCCCCAGCCTGTCATTCCCCACTAAACTGCCGACACAGACCCAGGAGAGCTCGCTGCAACATGAAAACATGACCACGCTGGACGCTGGGCAGTGGGAGCTTGGTCAGGGGGCAGAAGAGGCTCGCTCACCTGCTGGACTCGGCTCACTGTCCTGCTTTGCGGGGTCGTTATCTTAAAGCTGCCTTTAACAGCCTTCGGCTCGGTTTCACCCGGTTCCGCGCTCATTCCATACAAGACCCCGTCAGCCAGACCGAACTTTAGATAAGCGAATTTGTGGATGTGAAATTCGCAGCTGTCAAGACCTTACTGTGTATGGAAACATTTTACGATTACACGTAATGTTAGAATTACAGAGTGTTTCCCATTAACAAAAATAAACCCGTTCCATCCGAACAGCAGGTACTGCCGGGGATGACAAACAGGCACAGGCCGAGCTGGTGCCGAGAGACCCGGAGAAACAATACAGGAAGAGAAACAAAGTTTTCTGAAAGGCAAAGGGAGGGGGGTTGAAAAACTTGACCCAAACACAATTTACCCAGCTCATCCCGGTTGTTACTCGTTACCGTATTTTCAGTTTCATCTTTGACATATTGGGTCGGAATGCAATTTTCACCTTCCCTTCTTTCCGCCTGCTCTTCTCCAATGGTGTTGCTCCATGCTATACCGAGCTCTGGGTCGACCAGCAGGCAGACGGCAGAAAGCTATTATGTACCGCAATACAACAATTCTGTGTTTGGTACATACTGTACAGTACTGTATGTGATGATTACTTGCCAGGACTGTTATCACGGGTATTATTATCACTACAGCTTTATTAAACCTCACTGCAATAAAATACAAAAGCAAAACGAAAACCAGTCCACGGCGCAGGACGTTTAGCCTGCCAGCGCATTGCAGGAGCGCTCGATCCTGCTGAAGTCCGCAAGGTGACAGGATGCAAGCGAGACCCTTTCTCTCCCCCGGTCCGCCCTCTGCGCACCTGTGACGTTATACTGCCACCTGGCGGACTAGAGGATTTAATTAGAGGCGCTTATTAATAATAATAATAATAATAATAATAATAATTGCTTTTATAATTATTAGCCTGCACAGCACAACGGGGGATGAATCGGAAAAAAAATACAAGCAGAGTCTCGAACGTCATTTCCCATTGTGTCACCAGACAGTCAACTTTAATTAACTTTTAGTTTAGTGTATTGTACAGGGACGGAGCGCAGGGAAGAGTTAGCTACAAAGCACGTTTACATCTGTTCTCCCCGGGCAGCAGACAACGAGCAAGATACAGTACATGACATAAACATTTAAATATACATAAAGTCATATTGCATGATAAATCGAAAACAGATATTACAAATGATAAAATGCACAAAATAATGGCATGTTAAAGTAATAAATATAGAAAAAGCTGCAAGAATCACATTAGAAGTGAATCACTTAGCAAGATCAATAACATGGTTAGTCATTAAAAGAGACATCAGAAGATACATGATTACAGTATTGATTTGCTTTATATTTACTTCCATTATCTGTGGGTATTTAATTGCAAAAACAGTATTAAAAGCTGTATCAAAATACTCTAAAGGCTTATCATATCTTTCTTTGAATGTGTAAGTGTAGTGCACAGCAGTCATAAAATATTTCCTTTCGTTGCAATTCCATCTGTTCTGCATATTAAGGGGTTTCCAAACAAACAAGTGGTCATAGATTTTGTATTGTTGGAAACTATGTATTATACAGCCGACCAGAAGGATAGAACTAACCCATAGTTCAAATGAAACTGCATTACTCGACGGACATTGTCCGCCTCTAAAAGCTGTTCCCGAAAGACTACAACTCCCAAGAACCCAGGCCCGAACTTCCGGTATATTGTCTTCCTGTTTCTGAAAAGAAACTGGATCCATTCAGGGAGGCGAAGGGAAAAAAGGAGATTTGTTGGGCGGCTCGGTTTACAGATCAGCAACAACGGTGTTGTATTAAAAATAAATAAATAAAAGATCGAGCTCGGCACTGCAACACGATACAGGATGTCGAGGCAGGCAAACAGAGGAACTGAGAGCAAGAAAATGGTAAGGGGTGAGCTCTCTCTTGAGGCGCAAGCTGTCGCTGAACGTGTTACAAAGTTTACATTTTATTTCTTGTTGATACTCGCGCAGACCCTCAGGTGTAAAGAGGTCTTTGGATGTGTTTTAATAATTAATCTGTCGCACTACAGAGAAAATGCCTGGAGTTTAAGGGCCTATGTGCAAGCGATTATTGTCATCCATCGTTTTCAGGTGATATCCAAGACACTGCCATCCCTGTTGTTAGGCCACAAATTACAGGAACTAATGTACCTGCAGCGCGCTAGCAAGTTTCCAGGATGTTTTCATTGCTACTTAGGTGTACTATTGTCCGGACTAAACTCGTTTTAATCGTTTATTCTTGTGGCTTGTGGAGATGGTTTTATTTTAATTGGAGTCCGCTGTTTTATGACGTGAGTACGGGCGGATTAAATGGCAACCGCAAATATCGCACCGGGTTGTGATGTCTGTCAGTGGTGTAGTGTGGATTGATTATGGCCCAGCGAGTATTTAAAACAAACTCACAGAAGTCTGCTGTGTAATTGCGGTAATAAATACAATGATACAGTTCCTTCAATTGCAGAGGAAGCTGAATTAAGGTTAATCTCTGGCGTTTCATTCGAATAGTGTAGGTAAAAATGCATAAAATATTTTCCTCTGCAACCTAAACTTTGTTTTGCAAATCCAGCTGTGTTCAGGCGAGTCCGTGTCTGCCTCTGCACGGTGATGTAGTGTAGAAACTCAATTATTTCGTTCTCATTGGCTTTGATAATACAGTCTAAGACGATACTCTGGCATCATTGAAGAAACGGGCGGATGCCATCCTGGGATCGAGACACCAGTAACCCACTGGTCTGAATGGGCTGAGTGGCCTCCTCTCAGTCTGTACCCTTTCTTGTGCTGTAATACCCACCTGGACCCTCTTGAACCCAGGTGGGCGAGTCGCGCCGGGCTGTGTCTGTGTCTCGGGGCGATGGCGGAGCAGCTCTGTGCTTCCTCCCTCTCTCTCGTCCGCTTGGCCGTTCACCTGTCTCTCTCTCCTCTCTCTTACCTGCCGGCCTTCCCCCCATTCTCCCATCGTAGCTTTGGTATCTGCCATTTGTTTCACCTCCTGCGTCTCTCGTGGTCGGTCTGTACTCCTTTGTCTGCCAACTCTGAAAAAGAATAAGCGTGGGGGTTTGTAAGGGGGCACAAATGATAAGGCTGCATTTGCTCAATATTCTGATATCCGGGGGGCAGGCGTCTTGCTTCCCTGTCGGCCATGTGGATAAACTGCCCCGCCCTGAGTGGATGAGAGCAGCAGGGGGTGTTCTGTCCTGGAAGGCGACTCTTTCATTTGTCACTATCGCAGTCCGGGCCCAAGCGGGCTACCTCTCGCTGTGTGGAGGCCCGGATTCGCCAGTGAGGTTCGGGGGTCTTGGACAAAACAAAACGCAGCCAGGTACAACCTGGAACACTTATTAACCCTTGCAGTTTCTCTCCGGCACCTGCAGGTGGCACTCTCCAGGTTGTCTAATTAAGTTGTAGAACAGCTGAGACTCACATGGACTAGTGTAACCCTCGTCTGAGGGCTTAAGCTGGCGGTGGTTTCAAAAGGCACCCTACATTCTGGGCCCCGAGGGAGGAGTTGGGAACCCCTGTTTTCCTTGTCACATGTGTGCCCTCGGGAGCAGACCCTGCAGACCCCACAGTGCACTGCGGCTGGTGCCTGGGCAGGTGGGCAGGGCAGTAATGTGCTGGAGTCTGCTCCGCACCAGCGGAAGAGAGGAGGTTCTGGGCTTGTGTCTAAATCTCCTGTTTAGAAACCATGTCCGGCAGTGCATTGCTCGGGACGCTCTGGCCCACAGGCCAGGCCACGGCTGTGAAGGGGGATCTCCGGGAATCTGTCGGATCACCTTTCCTGCGGGAGAGCTACCGTTCCTTTCTCGGAGGGTCTCTAGAGACTTGCGCTCCGGAGGATGATGCGGATTACAATTAAACACAAAGGGATTATTTCTCAGAAGAAAATGAGCAGGATTGGGAGACTCCTGCCTTCTAATTTATAGGTTGAGTCTGGCTCTTTAAGAGCACCCCACAACCAATCAATATTAATCGGGCTTTCTCGGGTCAAAAATACTAATACATTAAGATCTGTGCACCTTAGTGAAAGGCTTACTTGTTCTCTTTACAGTTAGATTTTGATGATCAATGAGATTGTGTTCTGAAAGTTTCCTTAATTTAAATGCTGTAGCTGTAAAATCACTCCACATTCTAGTTATGGTGCTAGTATTGCTGATTTACGCTAGGTTGTCTTTTTTGACTTCTTCAGTATTAATCCATGTCAAAGTAGTTTTATCAGTATATTGTATTCATGCTCTGAATTGCTAATGCAGTGTGCCTCAGCCTGTAAAGGAAGTTTTTCCAAACAGTTACTTGATACGAGAGAATCGTTTTTAATTTAGTAACACACAAGAAGATCACAGAGAGGAGGAACAGCTCATTGACCCAAGGGCAGCTTGGATCTTATTGGCCTTGGAAAACCTCAGTGCATCTTTTCACAAACTTCAGTTATAGTGCAGTAGACGGATAAGTGCTCAACACTTTTGATGCCGCGTAGAAAAACTGAATATAAACTTCTGATACTTCTGAGTGATCTTAATGAAGCCGGCCTCAGTTAAAAAGAATCATCTGTCTTGCACCATTTGACAAGGCCTGTCACACACTGCAAAGAGGAAATGTGAGATTAAACTTGAGGCGCTCCCTGTTGATGTTTTGGGCAGGGTGTGACACTTCTCCAGCCCCTGTGAGCAGCACAGAGAAGGGGAGGTCACCCTGGTTGTATCTCTCCCTCTTCTCTGCAGAACTCGGAGCTGTTCACACTCACCTATGGAGCCCTGGTGACTCAGCTGTGCAAGGATTATGAAAACGATGAAGAAGTGAACAAGCAGCTTGATAAGATGTGAGTGTAACTTACCCTAGAGCAGGCCTGGGTTGCACAAACTTAGCAGTCCATGACCTCCGCGGACCTTCGTGCAAAATATCATTCCCTGCATTCATTCACAAATGCAACCTCTCTTAGATTTTATTTTTTTCCTCTGTTCACAGTTTTGATTGTATGTCCTGAAGCAGTCTTTTGAGTTCACATTACTAATACTAATAATTACTAAACACTTCTGTGAAGTTTCCATGTAATCTCCACTGTTTAAAACCGAAGAGATTTAGGTGTTTTAACCTGTGGGATAGTCATGTAAAGGCAAGCATTGATTTTATTGTCCTTATTTGAGCTGTTCTCACTTGAGCTTTTGCCCTTTCTTTAGAGCTCGGTCCCCCAGACCCAGTATCAGTCCCTTCACCAACTGCGAAATGTAACCCTGAATATGATGTCCAACTTGTTGACCTGCACAGGGTTTACGGTCAACGTTTTATATGAAATCTGGACCTTAGTTTTACATGAAGAAGATCCCTTATTGCATGGAGCAATGCAGAATGGCTTTAAAAGTAGCAGATGCATTTCGATGATGTCTAATATGTGACCTGCAGTGTGTGTGTAATAAGCCTGCCTGGAATATTCCAATATTTCCAACTGTATTCCTGCTGGGTGACAGCTATCAAAAGCTGCATGAATAGCCGGTCAGCTAGACGAAGGAGATTGTGGTGTACCAGTGCACATTCCCAGCGTCTCCTTCACATTCTGGAAACACTAAAGCTTGTGCCTTTTTGATTTTGTTGGGAGCAAATGACTTGCTGAGGTTTTTTATTAAAAAAGTGCAGGTCCCAGGTAGAAGCCCTGGTACGGTATAATAAGTAATCAAAGAAGATCCAGATGTTCGGCTGTGAAATTCCTACACATGCTGTGTAATTACTCGTGAAACTTCAACGCGCTGCTTTTGTAGCGCAGACTGTGCCAGGATTCTTGATTTCCTGGTCCAATCCAAGCAGACCTGAATTTTTTCTTTTCATTTAGCCTTAAGATCTTGGCTTCTGGGAAAGACTAACCAAACAAATAAAGTGCCAAGAGTGATTGACATACACTTTGTTCTAAAGTGCTGACGGGCCTCTTGCAGGGGATATAATATTGGAGTGCGGCTGATAGAAGACTTCTTGGCTCGATCCAGTGTGGGAAGGTGTCACGATTTCAGAGAGACTGCAGATGTCATTGCAAAGGTAATGGAGATTTTAAAACTGCCTTATAAATTCCTTGCTTTGTGGACCTCAGATTAATGCCTTTAGGAGAGGCTCCCTGCTTCTTGTAGCTTCTTTATGCTACTTTCCTACATGAATGCATTTTCTCATGCTCTTATGCAAAAACATGGGTTCAGTACTTTGCAAAATAATAAAATAATGCATTTAGAGTTCTTTGTATTGTATTTGCTTTTCAAGGTTCCTAAGAACTGAAACGTCTGTGCACTGGCACGGTAACTGCAGACTGACTTCAGAGGAGTGAAATACCATCCTGCATGGTTTTATGTAATCTTAGCAGTTCACTGTGCATGATCGCCAAGCGCTCGGTCTCATGTAGCCGAACGGGGCCAGGTGGTCTTGGGTGATGAGGAGGCCTAATGCTGGCTGGTTTGCAGGTGGCGTTTAAGATGTACCTAGGCATCACCCCCAGTGTGACTAACTGGAGCCCGGCTGGAGACGAGTTCTCGCTCATCCTGGAGAGCAACCCTCTGGTGGACTTTGTGGAGCTGCCGGACAACCACAGCAACCTCGTCTACTCCAACCTGCTGTGCGGGGTGCTGAGAGGGGCACTGGAAATGGTGAGGGGGCGTCTCGGGGGGCAGGGAAGTGGGGACAGATTGCAGATCTGCCTTTCGGGTTGCCCCATCTTCTCAGCCGAGGGACAGGGATGTGGGACCCCCCAGCACTGTGCTGCAGTCAGCTCTTGAGCAGAAGGTCCTGGCACTGACACTTCATTCCATTTCACTTGTTCGCTCGCTTGATCTACTAAAGCCCAGCACATGGGCCAGAAGAGCAAGCAGCTGCCCCCTGCTGTCAGGCTTCTTTGGAAAAACTCCAAAATTAATTGAACCCTTCATCTGAGGTTCAGGAGCCCAAATCCGTGGTTGTGTTATGCCTCTGATGTCAACCTGCCCCCAGTCCCCACATGCCTGTGGTGGAAACATCAGATATATTTGTGTTTTCAGGTTAAATCTTCTCAGCTTGAAACTTATATTTGCCAACACTGCTTTGCCCTGTAGTGTTACTTACTTTTTTCTGTGCTTTCACTGCTTTATCTCCTGTGCAACAATGATAGAAGCCTCTTTATGAGTTCGTCACTGTAAATGAATGTTCATTTAAATGGACTTTACCTGGTGAAAAAATAGATCATTATTATTGTACCACTGTCACTAATGTTGACAGCACTGTTGTTAGCTGTGCGCTGGAGGACTGTGTTGTTGACTCATTCCTGAAGCTCCGATGTCTTTTCCTGTGATTGATCTGGCTTGTTTGCATGCAAGAAGGTCACTTTCCGAATTGCTTTTATATCTGTGTGGCAGGTCCAGATGGCCGTGGATGTGAGGTTTGCTCAGGACACCCTGAGAGGGGACAACGTGACAGAAATCCGCATGAAATTCATCAAGCGGATCGAGGAGAACCTCCCTGTCGGGGATGATTAATCCGGGGGAGTTGGCATGAAGCCCCTGCTGTGCGCAGTCTGGACTGGGAGGCGGGAGAGGCGGGGGATCAGGGACAGGGCGCTGCGTGGAGACCCGGCTATCTGCTCGGCCCGTTCTGTGTCACTGTCCCATTACAGGTGTGGCCCATGGTCCCATTCCCAGTCCCGCCCACCTCTCTCCATGTTTTATAGGTCTTTAAAGTCCCAAAACACATGAGACTTGTGAAAATGGTGCACTGGCCAAAATCAGAAAGCATTTTTTCCAACAAAGACTTCATCCACAAGTCAAAAACAGACCTGAGGCCACTTAATTTTGTAAGTGTTTAATTTATGAGTAATTGCATTAGTTCAGCCATGGTAGAGCTACCTATTCATAACTGTAATGTTAAATGCATGTCGCTGACGCCATTATTTATCAGTATTAAGACTGAAGCAAGGACAGGTTTCATGCTGTTGATCTCTCATTTTCCAAAATGTTTAGAGGTGTAGATTAGATTAAACTGTTGGTTGCAGACCATCACTGCTTCTACACAGTTATGTTGACCAAGTTAAATGGCACCATATCCATCGATGCAATCCAGTCAGGTCTGAAGACGGCAGGGGAAAACTATACAGTAATTATTTTATTTTAGATCATCACTGGTGTTGTTTTAGCACAACTGTGAAAGCCCCTGTAATTAACAGAAACCTTGAGCGGAGCTGTTCATGCCAGGCTGCAGATCTGACACTGGTGCTGTAATTACTGTTATCAATCTGTAATCAACCCCAGGTCTGGCTGTGACATGAACTGGCCGACCCACTTGCACTGGAGAACTGAAATTCCACACGTACTGTTGAAGAAATCTGATAATCCAAAAGGGTGATTCTATTTTCTTTTAATTTTATTTTCACTTATCTCTGGACTGTTTGTGTTCACTAGTTGAAGCCCTAATGAAGAATGTTGAAGAGTTGTGCTGCTCTCGGCTGTCAGAGGCAGAGAGTGTACAGACTGCTTTCAAAGTTAAATAGAATAGAATGTGTACATAAAAGTTCAATCATGTAAGAAGGCATTCCTATGTTGTCTCGCATTTAATTTCATCACAAGATTTCTGTTGCTGTTTTTTTTCTGTGTAAAAGAAATTTGTACAGACCTAACCTAGGCTATTTAACATATTTCTCATAGTCTTTTTAGGGAAGTTTAATGTCTCCCAGGGGAAAGAAATCTCTTGAGTTATTTTAAAATAAACCAAGATTCTATGCTTATGTTGATGGTCCTTTTCCCCATGTCTGTTTTTTTGCATAGCTATAACTGAGAGTAAGAAAGTCCTCTAAAGTTTTCATCTGCGTTTTCTATCATTAATGGAAAACTGCAGAATGCAGCTGCCCAAAAGTTCTTTTTTTTGCGACATTTTTAAAACTCGGAGATAATTAAACTGTGTGACAACATCTACGGAGGAAGGCAAATTGAAATAACTCAGTGTTGTTTTGTTGAGTTGCATTGAATCCAGTGATGCGCAAGTAGGTTGGATCTGAAGGTAAGTTCGTGTCCTGGCTTTCTCAAAACGCCAGGTTGCTTTAGAGCAGGAAGAGCACAGATTGTTAGCTGAAGGCAGTTTCGACGAGTATCCAGAGGGGTTGGGATTAGGATATCTTTATGATAGACCCTGGTGGTAACCAAGTGGAATGAAAGAGTTGTGCATGGCAGTGAAATTATGTGTATAGTATAGTGTACTTAGTCCCACTGAAATCATGTAATGCATGTAAAATACAGGTACATCTAAGTCAATTTATAATCAATGAGTGAAGTAAAAATGGAGCTTTTCTATCCAGTTTTACCATGGAAAACTCATCGTTTATGATGCATCAAGGCTTTACATATATGCTGGGAGACATTAAAACCAAGAGCATGTGTTGCATTTATAGTGCTCAGTAGGCAGTATGCATACAATGTTTTTTGTTTAGTTACACCTGAACAGGAGCTTTGGATTTTAGGGTTTTTTGTCTTGCGCTAAAGGTCGGTTTACAGATCACAGCTGTGGCTTTCAGCAGGTCACTGCAGGCGGCTGGACTGGTCACCGTCGTGCCGGCATTCCTGAGGTTCCTCAAAGTATGAGTAATGAGGAGTCTCGCATTGCTTCTGTTTCTCGCGCCGTGTGTTTCCATGAGTTTGGGCTGCAGGGTGGGGGTACTCCAGGCGCCAGAAGCGGGAGATGGGGTGCATGCCGATTCGAGGTGCAGCTGAGCTGTGCCAGAGCAGTACCCCCGGTGAGCTTCAGTCTGTTGAGTCGCTCACTCCTGCGACATGTGGAAATATTAATGAAGTGTTCCTGCTCCCCTCGGGTAACACCGTTTCCCAAAGTGTTTTGCATCTGTTCTTGGTAAATCTATAAAGCGCCCCAGCACCCAATGTGAGAAACCACACTCATAAGTGAAAGGAAAGCACACCAGACTTATTTTGCATACTAACAGTTAGTGTTCTAGTATGTGTCCAAGAGCCATTTTAGTGGACAGAGGGGGTGTCGGGAGACATATCTCTGTTGTCGATTCATGCTGGGCAGTAAACCAGGGCCCGTTCCAGCACTGTGGCCCCTGAGCCTTTCTTGGAGCTGCGATATAAAAGTGTTTTCCCTCTGTTAGGAAATTCACAAACTCCTTTTCAGGAGTTCACCAGCTGCTTGGTGCACAATGTGTTTTTTATTTTTCATCAACATTTAAGCAAATTGTCGAAAAAAACAGAACCTGGGAACATTGCACTCTATATGTTCTCCTCTAGTTAAATCCCTTTTTTCAGATTTTTGTCTGTCATATCTTTTTAATTAAGATATCACTGTTTTTTTCTGTTTAAATTAATGTACAGCAAAAGGCACAGAAACTTCATTCCCTTATTACAGAAGACTGAAAGAGGCCAATTCTTATTTGTGACCTTTCAGGTCATCCAGCACGTTGGGTTTCTAGTAGTCAAAGTTTACATCCAGCCATTGCTTCGCGGAAGAGGTTTTTTGGATACAGCAATATGGCTGGAAAGTATGTTCCAGACTCCCACAACCATTAGTGTAACCATCTCCTGCTTTTAAACCCCCTTTAACTTGGTTTTCTCTGGTCAGAGTTGCTCTGGATCATAAATATTACAAAGACTGTCCACCAGAGGGAGCTGAAATCATTACTTTTCTCAGCTGCTTGGAAAATCGTCATTTGGAGCTTTTGTTTTTCTCTCGGTGTGTTGGAACACCTTGAGAATATGCACTATTGCAAAAACCTTGCTGGAAAAGAGAAAGAATGAACCAGTTATGCGAGTACTTCACTGGAACAGACTTTACAGGTTAATTAATCATGCTGATTTGCACTTCAACAGTCAAGAGGGTTGGTTAACAGAGGGTCTGCTGTGAGATTTTGCAGGTGAGTAGCATCTCTGACACTCGTTTGCACTAGGCTGCAGATGCGGGCTGTTGGAACTTCTCTCCTCTCGTAGATCCTGGTCTCTAAGCCCTAGATGGTACATGTCATCCCAGCTCACCCCATAAACTATTAGTGGGTCCCAAGGCTGGCAGGAGTGGCTTCCACAGCAGAACTGTGCCATTTGCATCCCACATGAAGGACGTTTTTATCCAAGCAGTCTCAGGACGTGTTGTTGCATCAGGACAATAAGGGCAGCAAGAGAGGTCCCAGGACCTGATCAGTGTAGCACCTTGCGTTCAGGGTTCCATCAGGCACTACAATGGGGACTTCTTTAAGTAAGGAGACACATCTGTCCACACCATCACACTTGGACCTCCTCGACTTCTGGTCACTCTGCAAATCTGTGCAACACTCACTGGCGTACGCCTTGCTGGTCAGCACGAAGCAGTAATTATTTACTGAAAAAGGCTTGGCTTTGCTGCCAGAGAGTCTATCTGAGAAGACTGATGGTACAAAGGTGTCACACTTGTGAAAAGTGGGGCATATTTTTTTTGTGTTCTTGCTTGATTTTCTCAAGGCTTAACATTCATCATGTCAGCTGACCTCATTATCTGTGCTCAATTATCTTACTAACATTGTGTTTTAGCACTTGTGCAGCAATCAAACTACATCGAGTGCATCACAGTCATGAATCAAAATGATGCCAAGACGATTTAATCAATGTCCGAAATGTATATGTTGTATTATTCTAAAAACTCACATGCATATACGGAGTGGTACATTTCTTTTAATGCTCAGTATTATACACATTTATACACATTCCTGCATATCTAAATAAAGATAGGATAGGATTTTAAGGAAATGGCCTTCAGTAGACATTTCTGTAAATCAGCTGGTGTTTCAACGAGTTTTACACATGGCTCTGTTTACTGTGTGAGAAACTATATCACTCTTCCATATGCTTTCAGGCTATTTTTCATACTTTCACTGAATGACAGCTCATCTTTGCTGTTAAGATAGTTTTGCTCTCAGTCACACATCTACAGGTAGCCCTTCTCTTCTAGCGAAGAAAACATTTCCAGCTCGCGGGCTGTCCAGTTTTCCCTCACTGTGTTGGCAGGGGTGAGAGGACTGCTGGCACAGAGGAAAGCAAAGAAGAGAGCTGTAGCTGCAGCTGTGTTGAGCAAGAAAAGTTGGCATTCTTTATTTTTTCATGTATTTTTGTGCATCTTAATGTTTCCCATACCTCTCCGTGGAGTCGGAGAGATAAAATGTGATATTTCTGAGTACAATGCACTGGCCTCTCCAACAAATACATCAATAAGGGGCTTCAAGGAACTACGCTATACCTTTGAACGTCTCCCTCCTGCTCATCTTCACAGTCAGCTTCGACATGAGAAGCCGCTCTGTGCTTTTGGAATCACTAGCATGGAGATTTAAGCAGCGAAAAGCAGTGGCTGCAGCTGGCTCAGATCCCCTTTCTGTTGCACGCTGCTGGCTTGTCAGTCCGTTGGGAATTTTGGGATGGGTGGTCTCTGCGGGGATTGCGTTTTACAAGGATGAAGGGAGAGCAGAAGTGTATCACAGGTTAAAAAAAGGAGCCAAATGCATAAAATAAGACTTTCTCCTGCCTCTGCTGGCTGTTCAATTCATCCTCCCTTCGAGACCAGAAGGCATGGCTTTTTTTCGATTTTATCTTGCACGTTTTATGAAGACAGCTCTAGCAAACAAGTAGCAAATGCTGCAGACCTGAGACAATATGCGCCAATCTAGTTTAAGTCTCCTAAATGTTACCATGTGGTGATTATGGGAAACAAATGCCTGAATGGCATGCCGCAACTATAAAACCCTTTAACTGGCCGGGTGCTGGCCCACAGTTATTGAATCCCCTCTCTTTACTTTCATGCCTTGCCAGGGCTGATCCTTTCACTGAGATCACTGGGATGAGAGAGATTGAAGCACAGCACTGGAATATTCAGCATAATGCTCCACGCTGTAACATTTCACCCAACACTCCTGAGAATGAAAACTGGGAATGGAAAACTCTGCGCATCCTTTTCTTAAAGGATGGGAAAAAAAGTGGTTAAATCAATTCATTATCTCTAATTAAAGAGCTTGCTGAGAGAAAGGGGGCCAGGCTGGAGTCCTCCTCTTCTGTTTAGTGGTGCGATCTCTCATTTAACATGGACCTTCCAGTGTTATTGGAAGAAAAGAATCATTGGCAAAAACAAATTGGATAATATTTGTCTGAGCCGTCCTACATATGGAATCGTTTTTGAATGTTTGTGCTATAAAGAACTTGCAAGTCAGCACAAAACCAGTAAAGAGTTAATTGTTTTGCAGTCATGACTTCGCTGAGGTTAAATGCTGCCTGAGCAGTGAGACTAGAGAGAAGCTACACGCTCAGGCCTCTGTCTTCATAACTGTGATAAGTTAGGCGCAGGGACCTGGCTCTTGTTATACACTGTAAGAGGAACCATGCTCTGTTTCCTGTCCTGCGGAAAATATGCTTCCCTCCTCTCGAGTTCTGATGAAGACGAATGTCAAAACATTATCAGACTCAATTTGTGTCAGCGTTTATTATTCCAATGAACTTGACGTCAGGGCCTGGGTGATTTTCATCCAGGAAAAGAGCCTTCTACCTGGACTGCAGATTGAAGTCTACAACCTGGGTCCATGTGAATATTTCGCCACTCTCTCTGTGTGTGTCCAGGGTGGTTAACAGAGTCGCTCTTAAGAGAAGAGAAGTAAAGGCGATGCATATAAAAACCCTTATTTGGAATTGTTTCTCTCCTTGCAATATGAACGAGTTAACTTCACAGCACATGGATTAGAAAAAGGAATGAGGCAGGACGTCAACCCTGTCCCTAC